ATTCTGAGCTCAGATCTTTCACTGCAGTTTTTGACGGTTGTACTGGTACTTTTTATGGAAGCAGAAACTCCTGAGTATTTCACCACTGAAGCAAAGTATTTTCTATAAATTTTTCTAATTCTGATTTCTGCAAAGCAATATACCTGCCACTTTGCATAACAGATAGTCAGATAAGCTCGATAGCTAGAAAGCTAACAAGTGTGCCGTGGGAATCACATAGTAGCAGCTATATCACAAAAATAAACGTAGCTCTGTTGCTAGGAAGCTACATACAAGGCACAAGTGTGACATTGTGAAATAATATCATCAACCAGGCACAACTGTGACGTCACCTTCTGACATTCTTGTCGTCAACCAACAGTATAAATAGAACAGAATCAGTCCGTCCCGGCATCCAGTTAGTCTGACAGTGATCAGCAACAGCTTTCTCCAAGAGACACAAACAAAGTTTTCTTGGTCAAGTACGACACAGAAGGACAAGAACAAAGCTCTACACTAACTACAGTCTTCTACAGACCGGATAGCACCAACAGTCCTGAGTTGTGCAGAGTGTCTTTGCTTGTTTATAATGACTTAAAGATTCAGTGCAAGAAGCAGACAGAATTTTTAGATTTCAGGTTTGTTTTAAGATGTTCATGTCTTAACTAAGGGGATTTTTCCCTCATGTGAAGCATCTTAAAATAGTGTCATACTTTGAGAATTCCAATCACATTTTAAGATTTTAAGGAACTTTGTATTTCAGCATATGAAACCCTACACTGAGGGTACTTGAAAGAAAAAACAAATCAAATTTGCTTTTATAAAGCTTGACAGGCTGGCATCTGAGACATTTTACTACTTGTAATAGATGAGTTGTTGGAACAATTGTATGTTACACGAGATGTTCTACTTTTTGTGGGTCTTTTGTGGGGTCCTCAGTCTGTAGGACCCCAGTTACGAGGCAATATCATCAAATTCAAACGTATTGTGATCCAGACTCTTGTCATTTGTTTCTGTAAAGCACACACAATCCCACATGGCAATACAGGAGTACAATCACGGGGCACTTAGCTGAGTAAATTTGAGGTGTTTTTCTTCTTATAGAAATTGTACTACAAAGGCCTTTTCAGACACGAACATGTAACGCTGCTGCTGTATCAGTCTGTCACAGTGGCGGCATTCTGTCATTGAGATGTAGGTTAAGGTAATGTTCCTCATGGCTTCATTCAGACATATGCACCAAAGTGACACAGTACCATATTTGTTATACAGACTGGACAGTAAATCAAGACACAGAGTGACCACTAATGTACATAAAACACCTACCAGGACACAAAACAACCACAACGAGACACAAAATGACTCCAGGAGACACAAAATGACATGAAATGATACAAACACCTTGATAAGACTCAAAATAGCTTGAAATGACACAAAAATGTTCAAAATGACACAAACACAAAATGAAACAAAATGACCAATGATCCCATGACCACACAGATGTATCTGGTGACCCTCAGGAGGGGACAGACCCCAGGATTGGGGACCACTGTACTACAAAGGCATATGCAGTAGTAAAGATCAGCTCAACCTCAGTAAGATTCATTTAAATGCTGCTGAGGCCTCAATGCTTCAGTTTTAACAATCATCGAATTACACATGTAGTAATATATCGGTCACAAGGGACAGTATTCAGCAGGTTGTTTTTGATTCTTCTGGTCATACAAAAAATCAGATTGTTTGCTTTTCAGGGAATTTTTCTCATGTCACTTTATTGCTCCTTCATTTTTTCTCATGCATTTGGAGCTTTGAGATCATTTTGGTGAAGACAGTGACTTTTTTGTTTGTTTAAATATTTCTATCCTTTAAGCTAATGTAACTGGGCTGCAGGGTGGCAGCACTGTTGCCTCGCAGCAAGAAGGTTGCCGGTTCACGTCCCGGTGGGGGCACCGGAATCTTTCTGCGTGGAGTTTGCATGTTCTCTCCGTGCAGCGTGGGTTCTCTCCGGGTTCTCCGGCTTCCTCCCACACAGTCCAAAAGCATGTTGAGGTTAATTGGTGATTCTAAATTGTCCGTAGGTGTGAATGTGAGTGTGCTTGGTTGTCTGTCTCTAAGTGTGGCCCTGTGATAGACTGGCGACCTGTCCAGGGTGTCCTCTGCCTTCACCCTATGTCATCTGGGATAGACTCCCAGCCCCCCCCTCAACCCTAGTGAGGATTAAGCGGTGTATAGATAATGGATGGATGGAAGCTAATGTAACTGTACTTTGTGCTACAACAGCTTTGCCACTAATATATTAATGTATCGAATTCATTAAGTTGATTGCATTGCAAGAACATATTGGATTGAACAGAACTTCATGGAAATGAACATGGCATTCCATCATACTGACTAATGTTAGGCTCCACCAGCAATGTTAAGTCACCACAACCTTTTTTGGATGAGCATATCTACGCTAACTCTCATCTAGTCTGAAGGCAAAGCATGGCTCGTCCAATAGGTGCTGCACATGTTGCGACACCAAAAATGTGGACCTGTAGCGTAACAGAGCAGTTTAATACTGTCAGATAATCTAACGTAGTAATCCTGTTTTGTTGTTGTAGTAGCTATACTGTGGTTTGGATGCACTTCGTGTGCAGCAGCTGGATGCAGGCAGCAGGTGTAGCTGGATGTGGATGAGGCTTAAGGTAGATGCCACAGTTAAGGTGAACACAGTAAAGCACATGTTGCCTGTCTGACTTTTTCCAAAAAGTTGAAAAGAAAGGATGGGTGGTAGCAGGAGTGTGCATGTCCTTTTTGCAAACAGAAATATATCATTAGCAGAAATCATACAAACACAAAGTGTTGCAGTTCTCCTGAGAAAGAAGAACTCACTGTTCATTGTGAGCACCAGTGCAGCTGAAAGGATCAGGAAAAGTTTCTGGACTGCTTGTACCAATGAGTGATCATAGCTCGTGTAGTACAGTGTGTGTGTGTGTGTGTGTGTGCGTGTGTGTGTGTGACCTGGAAGCTCGGAAGACCTGCTGATGTGGAACATTACAGGTGAGAACGGCCCAGCTCCTCAGATACATCAGACCGATAAGCTTCAACACATTGAATGCAGGAAGACAGGGAGAGAAAAACGCTCCCATCCTGAATGAAAGAAAGAGACAGGTCAGTAGTACACACACACTCACACATTGAGGTCACACCCCATATAAAAGACATTACATTCAGTGCTTCACGGTTTCACTTCATTATGTTTATTGCCGCAAGGCGACGTTTCCGAAATTAGTTGAGAAAATACGGTCAAGTCAGGCACAGAGTGGTAATGGAGATATTATAGAAGGTCACATCCCTTTAAACAGGGTCATGGACACTGGTCAGCACTAGCCACACTATTAGGCTCTGAGTTAATCTTACGTTACTGGAATTTGAAACAGTTTCTCAGACTTACCAGATCATTCCTTGGTTATAAATTAAGTGCAAGACATTCTCAGCTATTTTGAATTCTCCATATTCAGGCTGAGAAAAGACAGAAAACAAAACATGAATGCAGTGTTTTGTTACATTTTATAAATGAAAAATATTGAAAAATATTACCACATCTCAGTTTTCTGGATTTGTAAGTAAGGGAGAAGTTAGCTGAACTTTGTTTAAAAAACAACAACTATCAGAGACAGAAACCATTATTTAACACTTACATACAGCTCACATTCTTTGCCTTCACAGTATGATCCATGTCCATTTGACTGATCCAGGAATTCCCTCATAACAAGAGTCAATACCAAATTTTGAACTAAAAATAGTCTATCTGACATTAATAAAAAGATTATTGTTTCTTACTTAATGTTTTACATGCCAGGAAGAATTTTTTAATTTATTTTTTATTTCTTTAGATTTCACACCACTGGTTTTTGAAGGAAAAATACTTACTGTCACAGAATATTAAGTCCTACTATACCTAAGACTGGAGAATATAATGCAAGAATAACAGCCCTAATGATTTAAATGAAACTGAATAGCATGGGAAGCAGCTAGTCTTGTGCGTCATTTGAAAGACATGTTCTGCTGCCTGCCACAGGATGTGGAAGTAGGTCCGGCTGATTGTGTTGTTCTTCACCATAAGTGTCTGCCTCGCTGCCTGCTCCTCTTCCTCAGAGTCATTTTCATGAGAGGGACTGTCATCAGACCTTTCCTCCGTGTTTTCCTCCTGCCCAGACACATTCTCCTCCAAATCACTTTGTGCTTCCTCATTTTGAAAGATCAGATGAATGGCCTCTTGCACCATAAATCCTGCTGCTATAACCTCAGTCACCGAAATAGCAGCTCAGGTACCTTTACAATCTTATGGCCCCAACAACCTTTATTTGATCTCTGTTTTGACCTCCGTAAGCTCGGAATTAATGGATTCTAATTTCTTTGTTTTAGATTATTTTGTTATTTTGCAGGTGTTTGTGCAGATCTCAGGACTGCGTCAAGGCATCTTCTGACCTCAGTGTGACGTCTGTTTCTCATGTGCAGCCTATAAGATCACCCCTCAGCGGTTTTACTCTTTTACAGATTCCTACTGAACTCTGTCACTACTGTCCCATAAAAAATACACACAGACATGACATGTATAGTTTTACTGTTTCAAGATTTACTAAAACCACGATTTTCCTTGATTTAAATCCAACTGGAGGATCTAAAATCCATTATATTAGTTTAGGTTAAATTTGACCCAGAGCAGCCTTAGTGTAGGAAATGTTTTAGCACCTGTACAAAAGTGCTGCTGAATGAGAAGAAGCGGTCACAAAAGGACCTCAGCCAGAATCACAAACACATTTGTTGTTAAATCTTTCTACCCTGAGGTGAAGGTCCTTGTACTGGGATCTTAAACACAACCTGCAGCCATTTTCCAAAGGTTTCTGAGCATGCTTCCATTCTGTGAAGAGTCCAACTATGTCTAAATTAGCTCATCATGTCTGTTGCATCACATTGGGAGAACTGCAGTTAAGACATTTTTAGAACGAGTTAAATAACATCAGTGTCACCAACATATCGTTAAAATGCTGTAATCTACTTAGTTTACAGTTTTGATACAGCGGAAGTAAAAAACACTTTTCCAATCTCAGTTGGGCTTGGTGATAGTGACACGTACCCACACATTCATTTAGTTCTGGTTGTACTGACTGTCTTGTCACTCCAAACCTCCTGAGTTTCCCTACATCTCCATTCATGCATCCCCGTCGCTATTATGTCATGTTGCATGTTACGGCTTCAATATTGGAACAAGCTGGCTCAGACAGAACTGCATATGTGAAGAATGTTCTATTGTACACATGGAAAATGGTTTGATCCACATTTAAAAGGATTGAAGACAGTGTTTAGGAATCTTTAAGGGCTGATTTTTCATACTTCATACTGCAGCAGTGGCCAAGCAACCAGGTTTGAAACACAAACAAACATACTTACAAACTTGCTCTCTAAATCCCAGCAGCAGCAGTCACTTAGGTAGCGAACCACCAGACCTCTGATGAAGTCGATGAGCAAGATGCTGGCCACTGTGAAGATCATGTCAATGATGGACAGCTTCAGCATCTCCTGGAGACATGTTGACACACACCTTTAAATACATTATGCATATACACAAATACTGTCCATTTAATTATTCATCACTGAAACAGGGCTATAACTTGCTCATTTGCACATCAGTGGGTTACATAATGGGTACATGTTTTTAGAGTTCTAGTAGCTTACTCTTGTAGTTACTGTTAAAAGGAAGGCATAGATACCTTCATGTATATATTTTGGTGATTAATGGGTGGATTATCATGGAATCCTGTAAAGACATTAATGTTCCCCTCATGATGAATGATATCTTTAGTGATTCCTGACAATCATCTGATAAATACATGAGTCTGTCCAATACTTTAGGCATGGACCAAATACCAGGTGGATAAATGCGCTATACTTTGTGTTTTCTGATATTTAGCCAATACTTGTAATCTGTATTCTGATTTGTGACAACTACAGTTTATGATAGTGTTCAGTGTCTCTAATGCTGACCTATGTTTTATATGAAATTCTTTAAAACTACTGAAACTGTTTTTTTGTGTGTTTTTTTAAAAATGTACAATTCAGAATGCAAGAAAGAAAGACAGTATAAACTCAAATGCAGAAAATTGGATATTTTCTAATTCTAAATTGAGCAATTTTAAGACATAGTCCTTCATCTGTATTATAAATGTGTTCTCAGCATAAACTTGGGTTTTTGAACTGGATCTCATCCAACTACAGCAGGGGTGGGTAATCCTGGTCCTCGAGGGCCACAATCCTGAATGTTTTAGATGTTTCCTTCTTCCAACACACCTGATCCAAATGATCAGGATTGTTATCAGGCTTCTGCAGAACTTGATGATGAGCTGATCATATGAATCAGGTGTGTTGGAAGAGGGAAACATCTAAAACATGCAGGATTGTGGCCCTCGAGGACCAGGATTACCCACCCCTGAACTAGAGGAATGTCAAGAAAAGTATGTCGTACAACTATAAAGTGTACGCCAATCAGAAGGTAAAACCTGTCCAACGTAGGTCTCCCAGCACTGGTCCTGCTGAGAGCGGGCGTTCTTCTCAAACAGAACTGTCTGGTTGGAGACGGTCGCTGAGCTGCTCCTGTTGCTGTTGGTAACATACAGAACTGTGGCGATGGTTGCTATGGTACTGTTGTGATGCTCAAAGACAGAGATCTCTGACACCAGGGTGGAGAGGCTGTCACCTTCAGGTTGAGATATGGTGGCCAAGTAGGCGCTAGAGTCAGTCCAGTTACTCGGACTTACTTGGACCTGGAAGTCAAATAAAATACAATCAGTCCAGCCAGCTATGTGCTATACTGTTCCTAAATGGGTGACTGATAATCATATAAGGATGTAAAAGTTACTTTGTGATGCCAAAGGAACAGTTTAACGTATGACATCATTAGCCTATCTAAGCTTAAAAAAACAATAGGAAACAGTTTACTCTGTTTTCCAGTCTTTGTTTACTTTCTTAGTTCCAGTATGTCATTTATTTACATAAAACACTGTGTCAATAAGACACATTTTTGAGCAATTATTAAGTGCATTTGAAGGACACAATCTGGCTGACCATTCCCCACTGCTGCTTTTATGAACAGCTGTCCTAACTGTAGCTCTGCAATGCTGAAAAATATCATAATATAGACTGGTGACCTGTCCAGGGTGTCCCCTGCCTTCACCCTAAGTCAGCTGGGATAGGCTCCAGCCCACCATGACCCTAGTGAGGATAAAACGGTGTATAGATAATGGATGGATGGAACCCAACAATCTGAAGTTCCATTAGGACTCCTTTTGAGCAAGTGGTTGGCAACGGTGGGAAGGAACCAAAAACAAACAAACAAACAAAAGCCCAGACCTCCTCAGTTTATTACTTAATTTTTTCTACTGTGCTCTGTGCACAATAATTTACAAACTATTTTTTATTTATTTTTTGTTATTAGACAATATTTATATCACAATAGCAAATGTTTTTCATTATATTGACAGGGCCCTGATGAGCAGAATATAAAGACTGACGCATGACATCCTCTACTGTGGACGTTACATTTTGACTCAAATGGATTTAACTTTGATTAAAGTCCTTCCACACGACAGTTAACCACAGAATATTGTTGTACTTGAATGTTTCTTGAAGAAGAAAAGGTTTTAAGAGATGTTCCACTAGTAACAGCCACAGTGTCACCATTATCCACCATTTTTTGGATTTATAATGTAACTACTTAGGGTAACAAATATTAATAAAGACAGGTTGTCCCCTGTCTTTTCCAAGTGATAGTTGTGATGAATATAATTTTAGTTCAAATGTGAAAAATTGAGGGCTGCAGGGTGGCGCAGTTGGTAGCACTGTTGCCTCGCAGCAAGAAGGTTGCCGGTTCGCGTCCCGGTGGGGGCACCGGAATCTTTCTGCGTNTTTGAAGGACAAAATCTGGCTGACCATTCCTCACTGCTACTTTATGAACAGCTTGTCCTAACTGTAGCTCTGCAATGCTGAAAAATATCATAATACAGACTGGCGACCCGCAGCAAGAAGGTTGCTGGTTCGCGTCCCGGTGGGGGCACCGGAATCTTTCTGCGTGGAGTTTGCATGCTCTCCCCATGCACCATTTTTGGATTTATAATGTAACTATTTAGGGTAACAAATATTTATAAGGACAGGCTGTCCCCTGTCTTTTCCAAGTGATAGTTGTGATGAATATAATTTTAGTTCAAATGTGAAAAATTGTCCACTGTTGAGGATGACATGGATGAAAGCACTAATAGTGTCTTGGTTCCATTAAATGTTCCAGTAAACCATGACAGTGAATCATACACAAAAGTGGAACGCAACCATCATTACTGGTGCATTTCCCTACGACAGAAAGTCAAAATATCTGCTGTGAAAAAGCTCTGTGGTGGTCTTCTTTTCTTTACCACCAGACCTGAATGATGTGGTTAAAGAGTCTATTCACTCAAATCACAAAATAAACTTTTCCCACTTGCAAATGCTATTACTATACCATGTAGACAGTTTGTACACTTGCTACCAGATACAGTTCCATGACAAACTCAGTGAGGTCTGATGATTATGTCTAAAGAAACATTTCATTCTTTATGAGCAAAAAGGAAATTCCACCCCAACAACCAAAGCCACTTATCTCCAAACTTTGTGACATCAAACTAAAACTGTCTCTGTAGCCAAACACCACTTGAAATAACTGAGACAATGTAGGTTTTTAAAAATTTGAGTGAACTAACTCTAACGTGCAGTTTTAACTGTTTGTGACAACATGTGATGCCTCATGTTGCTGCATTACTTGACCTAATGTTTATGATACAGTCACAGAGTGAGTAGTTTCTATACTCACAGCAGAGCTCATACTGTTGACCTTATCAAGGAGGGCAATAATGAGGCTATAGAGATTCCCCAGGTATAAAACAAGCACTCTGTGAAAACACAATTATGGCATTGTTAGTGTGCAGAAAGGCCTGTGATGTATCATACAGTATGTCAATAATGCTGCATTGTGAAGCTGTTGCTGAGTGATAGAGCACCTGGCCAGCTGGAATCGCAGCGAGGTTCGTGGGTGGTACATCTCCAGCTGAGCCACCAACTCAAAGGCAGACGGTGCAATCATGGTGATGAGGGAAACCACCACACTCACCTAGAGGCAGAGAGGACACAAACATTGCTGACGTAGTGGGTACATGGTAAAGTTCTTTTTGAGAAAAAAAGATTTCAGCTGAAAATTATTACACAATATGACAAACATTTCCCTCTGTCTGTGAATCATCAGTAAATGTCCATGGCAACAGCACGTCCCAACAACAGCAGCCTCCCCCAGCAGGACAATGTGCACTACCATACCCCGTAAACTGTTCAAGAACAGCTCAAGGAACGCATCAAAGAGCCAAAGGCATTGACCTGACTTTCAAATGTTCTAGATTCCCTTCTGATCAACTGGCGGGGTACATCAGAAGAACCCTGACCCATCAAAGCCTCACCCTACAACTCACAGGAACCAGAAGATCTGCTGCCAATGTCCCCATCCAGCACCACCGAACACCCCTATGCCTTCGCCCTGTTTGCTGGTTGTCATCATGGAAAAAGTACATGACTTACAGACTATATCATATTTTCATGCAGAACTGGTCGCTGAATCATCAAGCTAGTTGAAAAGCAGAACAGTTTTAAGGAGACTAAATTGCTGAAGTGATGAGCTGTCACTGACGGATGGATATTGACATTCAGTAGCCATCTCCCACTGGATCTACCTCAGGTCTCCGCTTTCATTTGTCCTTTTATAACTGTATTGCATGTTGGATAATCTAATCAAACTAATGATGATGAGAATGATGACGTCTGTTTTGCTACTATACCTCATTTTTCTCCCACAGCGTCAGCTCCGGCTTTTCCTGCTCTAGTTTCTGAGAACGGTCCACCACAAAGTAGATGATGTAGATGCTGCCGGCTAGAGACAGCAGCACCAGGATGTTGGCTAAGATACGTAGACTGATCAGAACTGCCCTGAAAAAACAGACCCACAGAGTTCACTCACTGGTAGATGAAGTGTAGCCAGGCCCTACGTATAGCAAGCTGTTTTAACATTTATTAGTGTTAGAGCTGGACTCTCTGGCATGTAAATTAAATATACCAACAACACCGTCTGGACTAGATAAGTCAGATTATTTATTCAGGATCTCTATAACATAAATACCAGTCAAAATGACAGCGATATTGCTAACCTGCTAGAACAAAGCTTTAAAAAATTGGTGGAATATACTTTTACAACAGATTTCTCTAATTGCAGGTACTGATACCTGTATGATGGAGTGGAGGATGACATCAGTACCATAACCAGTGAGGCTGAGATAAGGGAAGGGACTGCAAAGCACTCATTGATCTCATGTTAATACCTTCTGGGTGTCCAGTCATGTCCAGTGATTTACTGTCAGTTGCTTTGTCACAAACATATAAACTGCAGAAATTTCACAAACTGGATGTTCTAAATCAGCTGGATCTGATATTAATAGCAGAAGTTGATGGACTTTGGTGGTTTCAGCAGACTTAACTAGAAGAATCCTAATCAAGGACATGCACAGAACACATAAAAACACAAGACACACAGAAAACAGATGCTTACAGACTGGTATCCTTCTTCTTTTCCTGCTCCTCAACAATGGCTTCCTGTGCAGAAAAACCCAAAACAAACATTTGTTTAATTTCTGATCTGTAATATTCTGTGCATGTGTTAGAGATACGTTGAATTTAATAACAAAAAGTGATGTGTATAATTCAGTGAGTCTGTTCGTTGTGTCTCTGACCCTGATGTTGTTGACAATAGCAGCTCCTTTGCTCTCTGCAGCCTCTGGGTTTCCTATCAGATAATCCCAGGCACAGAAAACTCTCCAGCAGAATGTAAAGTTCTCATCAGAGGCACTGGCCAGGCTCAGACGAGAGTTCTTGGCCATTCTGCAGGAGTATTATTTTTAGGACATATTATCAAATCATGCATTATATACCGTTGCAGCATTTTTAGTAGAGTGATTAGTTGAGAAGTTTAATAGTTTTAAAGGGAGAATTTTCACTAGATTTCTGTGGAACTTGCAGAATTTACAGTGTGACAGTATCATTTTATTCTTAACCTTTTTTGGCTCCATCATCAGGCTATATAACCATCTGCATATATAAAACAATAACAAGAGTGTCACGGTTGCCTCCTAGCTACAGATCTTTCTTTCTTGGAGTTTGCATGTTCTTCCTTTGCAGCATGGGTTCTCTGCAGGATCTCCGGCTTCCTCCCACAGTCCAAAAACATGTCGATTGGTGATTCTAAATTGTCTGTAGATGTGAATGTGAGTGTGCTTGGTTGTCTCTGTGGCCCTGTGATGGACTGGTGACCTCTCCAGTATAAACCCTGCTGGGATAGACTCTAGCTCCCCATGACCCTAGTGAGGATAAAGCAGTGTATAGATAATGGATGGATGATCTTTACTAGTGAGCACCAGCTGGGATTTCAATGTCAATTTCTTGTCAAAATCTATGTGACAATCAGTTAAAATGACTTACATCTATTTTCAAGCTAAAATGTGATTTTGAAATCAAAATCACATTTTAGCTTGTTGAAAAGAAGGCAAAACACAAAATTACAAAATCTAAATTCAATTAATCATTTTAATAAATTGTTTAGTGATAGGTTGAAAAAGGAGATCATATTGATTCTTGCAACAGAATTTCTCCAAAGTAATAATGCACAGGTAAAATAAGAAGTTAGACTCCCTGATGTAATGTGCATGTGCAAATATTTAAGTGTTACAGCTTTGACCACTCTGAAGGTAGCATGTGCCCTCTGTCGTTCTAACAATGTACCACTGTGGTGTGTGTTTCTTCTTCACACCAGCTGCTTAGCTCCATAACCTGATGTGTAATTAGCCAGAACCAGGTTGTGGGTATGATTCTTGCTTCAAACATTATTTTTCTTATTGCTTGCCCTTGCTGGATCTTTTATTGTTGTTTTTTTGTTGATAGATAAGCTTAAAAAAAAGATAAGACAACATTTTCACATTAGAGGATGCAAATCTTCACTTTTAGAAATCATAGTTACCTAAATGTAAACATTCAATCACTATCTTCAAATGGTTGGTGAAAAACATTCACCTTTGAACCTGTTTTAAATGTCGTTTCACTGATGCTCACAGCATTATTAAATGCTTTTCAACAGAAATATGCTCACTGGATGCATGATGCCGCTTTCAGTACAAGCACACAACTCCTGTAGGTCACTATGTATTCTAGTTATTCTTCGATGTGCTGTGGTGTGCAGCATTTCTGTCTGTAGTTGACACTAGAGGGGATTCAGACTGTAGCAGCATTGTCAGACCAGCTGTCATACTATGAGACAGTGATAGATGCAAACTTGCTGCCTGGGAACATGCCAGTGATACTCAATCACAATGCACATTTTATCCCATCAGCTATGGTCTCATAACTGTATGTCTACTATGGTGAATGTCTCTTTTGTGAAGCAGTTTTAAAATAGGCAGAGCAACATTATATGAATGGACGGTGTAACCATACAGTCACACTTGCCTCCTCTGTTTGGGAGTCTTTCTCAAAAGTCAACAATGTGGAGATGTGTTGTTGTCAGCAAAACAAATTTGTGTGTCAACAAAACCTAAAGTCACACTCAAAGCAGATGAATTATTTTAGTTTACTTTTTTAAAATCTCTTAAATGCTGCAATTTTAGTGATCTCTGAATATCTACTGTTCTGTTTTAAGAGCTTTTCACCTTAAAATTAGTAGTTTTTTACTCTGCACTGCATGAGCTAGTCATGACCTGTTCTGAAGGCTTTATCGGGTCAGCCTTACAATCACATTATTTTATCGACTCATTATAACATCAGCATTAGTTGTAAAAAGCATAATGATTACTTTCGTAACAGAATGATGAAACTGTAGGCAAAGACAGCCATCCCAACCAGGAAGTAGGCAAGGGGCAACCGGTACCCTGCACTGCCAATTTTCCTCACCCTGCCATAGTAACCATAGAATAACACAGAGTACTGCAGGTAGCCCTGTGGAGAGTCAAACACAACAGATGTTCACACAAAACACAAGGAAGTACAGGATGATGAAGATGACATGAAAAAGAAATCAGTAATATCTAAAGTATGATTCCTTATTTCCCTTGAATAAAATGCAGGGTAACTGTAGTGATTTAAGAATGATGTCTTTACTGGCCCATTACATTATTCCAAGTCGAAACTTATATACGTGGGGAAGGGAAAGGAGTTAAATTGGCCCTGCAGTAGAGGTCAGGGAGACAGTAAAGTAATGTTTAAATAATGGTTCATTGTGTCCGTAAGTAATGTGCTATTGACAAAACAGTAAAAGGAGAGAAAGCCTTGCCCCGAGAGACCAGATGGTGTCCAAGTCCTGGGCTGAAGCCAGATGCTCTTTCGGAATAGTTTTACTTCTTGTCGTTCCAAATGGAGCTCCGGCCAGAAGCTGGTTAGACACAAACATATCAATTCAATGCACTGTAATAATTATACAGCAAACATATTTGGTTATGGTTTTGAGGTTTAGGTGAAACTTCATTAGGTTAGAGTTAGGTAAAGATCAGGATTTGACAAGGCCGGGGGACCTTTGCCATCATGGTTACAATAATAACCACTTGGTTACAGTTTGGAAAGTACAGCAGTCACTGGTCAAAGAAATCAGCACTGGAACACAAAACAGGTGGTGTTTCGCTGACCTATCCGACCACCCTGACCTCACTAAACACATCATTTAATGGTCAACTCAAAAAAGTTTGCTCGGTGTCATAGGTATAAATTCAAGTTTCAAAGCAATCCAAAATTTAACTTGATGAGATCCCAACGCAAATTTACTTAATACCCAATCACAGTAATTCCAGAAATATGAACTGCATTTAGCACAACTCTCAAAAATTCTGGTATGACCAATCTGAATGCTTACATTAGATTGTGTGCAACGTAAGGAACAGATAGCCTAAATTACAGAGCATGATGTATCTATAGAGTTACCCAGATAAGGAGGCAACCCTCTACAAAGAGATGTGACTGAGAGCGTAAAAAGTGTACTGACCCTATATGACATCACTGGTCAAATAATTCACAGCACAAAACAAACACAGACATAAAATCTGGCAGAACATCCATGATGCTTGATGGTGGATAATATGGTTCAATAAGGAGAGGCGAGATAAAGGTGAGATATATGAGAAAAGACGATGGAGAATTAGTTCCAACAAATCATGAAGGCAGGGCGAGATGTATAAAAATAAATAAATGGATGAATAAAATTTGTCAGTGAGAATGACAGGAAAAGTCATGTCTGGGGAGATTGCTTGTGTCTGCATGTTGTTGACAAACATAAATCTAGTAGCACTTCTTCCACCATTCTTGTCTGCAGTTTGTACTTTGTTGTAAAGGATCCAAGGATCTGCACCAATGGACAAATCATTTACAGAGAAGTCAACAAGTAATATAAATATGAAATATACAACATAACTTTAATAAGGATGTTGAGATTTTTTTTTATTTTTTTAGATTTAGACACTTTTATTCAGTAGCTCTTTGCTGGAGGGGTGGTGTTGCTCTACATGTCTATTTAAAACACCCAGAAGGTGTTGTGGTGGATTCGAGTCAGGCTACATACTTGGTCAGATCATTGTTTTTTCTTCTTTGGACAGTCTTTTTGGCATTTTGGCAGTGTGCTATGGATCTTTATCCTGCTGGAATATTCCTTTTCTGCCAAGCCTCTTCCAACTGGAATTTATCTTGTTAGCCAGTATTTTTGATATATTCACAGGCATTCATGGTGCTATCTATCAATGTCATCTTCCCAACGCCCTTTGCTCTCATGCAGCCCCTTATCATCACACTCCCACCCCTGATCTTCACTGTTAGGACTATGCATTCACTGTGGGAGCCCTGGTCAGGTTCATGGCAAACAAGCTGGACCCAATCTGAGCCAATCAAATGTATCTTGGTTACATTTGACAAAAAAAATGTGCTTCCAATATTCATTAGCCGTCTTTTCACAATTTTAATCTTGCAGTTTTGTGTTGGAGAGAAGCAGGGCTGTTTTTTTTTTAGCACTGTCCATAGAGGTTTCTCCTTCCTTCTCACTGTCTGAGCTGTCAAAGAAACTCCAATTTCCATTGATAATCCTTGTGGCAAGTCTGACGCACTCACCAAGCTGTTTTCCAGAACTAGATTGTACCACTGGAGCAATGTTCTTGGCTTCATTTTAGGAGGATGACCACTGGGCTCGGATTAGTAGTACTATGACTTGGTCTACCTCCTAATATACTGCTGCCACTGTGTTCCCACTCATTTTTAGTTGCTTACTGATTTTTCTCTATCTTTTTTCCATCTTTGTGAAGATTTAAAATCAGATGTTCCATTTCCTCTGGCAGTTCTTCAATTCAGTGTGGAGCCATGATGCAGACATGCAGGTAGATACAACCCATGGGTCCTAAACAGAGTAAGGTCTGGTATTCACAGGTTATTTTCAAATCCTTTTTGTGGAGTTAGGCTGATTGGTTGCTCTACTCCGCTGAGTTTTTACTTCACTGTATTTTCAATATTGTTTTCTAAAGTGTTTGTTTTGAATTATTGAAGAGAGGAAAAACTCTACCTGTTATTGATTACTGGAGGGTAATACAGTTTTGAATCATTTAATATTTAGGTGATATTGCACAGGGGTGCACATACTTCTGTTGTATTATGAATATCGTACAAATATCACTAAAACTATCAGGCTGACTACAGAATATCATACAAATAATTAGCAGAAAATGTGCATTTATGATTATAACACTCTGCTCTTGTGAACAGTTATGAAGAGGAATCATCTCCTGCACCCCGCGCCATGTGATGCTATAGCCTGGCATCCAGGCAATAGTACAGACAATGATCTGATATAATTCAGATTTGTTTTTAACATTAGAAACTTAAGAGTGAGGTGTCCATCAGCAGAGTATGGGCCCAGCTCATGCATTCAGTGTCTGCTATAAATCATCTACTTGGCAAATATATGTGCAAAAACAGAGAAGCTGGAATCACAGTAAATATGGATGTTGCTCGTTCAATGGCTAATGTCTGCATTAATGTTGATAGTAGTAGGTATGATTTTATTGTATATATTTAGATCAAGATTTAAAAGATGATATTCTATTTTTAACACTTATATACTTATTTTAATACTACTTAATAGTGAACAGAGAAATACCAACTCCATATTGTCATTATTGATGGTGGGTGGAAGATGCTGAAATGAAGAAGGGGATCCAAAGAAAAAAACAATAAAACTGAATCACAACTTATAAATGATTTACATATGAATGGCATGAATAAATATGAATGTTTGTATTCACAGTATACATAACAGAGAGATTTGCTGACCTCTGGTAGGACAATGAAGGCTCCAGTCATGATGGTGAGGACGATATTGATCCCAAACAACCAGCGAAGGAAGATAAAGTAGGAGGCCACGCCTGACCCAAAGTGACCTGAACAAGCCAGAGGAAACATCTGACTGAGACTGAATAATATGTTACACACCACTTCATCCTCAAACAGTGATGCAGTGGTTCACCATCATCATTAAAAATATATTAATTATATATTAGCAAAAGTGGTAATTTATCTTTATGCACTCAATAATCTCTATCATCATATAACTGGCTCTGAACAGTATGACTATAGTGATGGATAACTGTCCTGAACAAAATGGATAGAGGTCTAAGTAAGGAATAAAATGGTTAGCTGAGAGTAGGAAAGTTTACTCCAATACTTCCTTTGATATGACAATGTCCTTTTAGTGTACTGATATTAAACAACAACAACAAGAAATGTGAGCATCGTCACTGATAGCATTGCTTTGACCGATTCAGGAGAGCAAACTCACTTTCGATTTTCTTGATCCTAACTTCCCAGGGAATGAACAGAACTACAATGTTGTAAAGCAGACGGGAAATTTTCTTCAGAAGCTGCAAAGGTGAGATTTAAAGAGCACTGAGAAACTTGTGGAAAAGAAAATACTGACAACAACAATTAGGTAACAACAATTTGCCACAAGAGTTCATAGTAAAGTAGACCTGTTTCTTAGGAGTAGCCTTTGTTCTAACATCACAATAGCAGGTGAATGACGTTACTTCAGTTATTGCACTTTGACAGATTGTGTTTTCAAGCACAAATTAAATGAAATTTTCATTTCTCAGGATGTCATTTGGTGGAACATACCCATGTCGTTCATTTGAAAACTGGTACAATGTGACTATACAGCATTTCCCATCTTATGATGTGATGGAAGTTAAAATCAGAACTGAGATGATAATTAATAATAAAGCTAAGCTCAGCTGGACCAGTAATTCTGGTTTTCAATTGACTGGGAGCCAATCTGTACAATTAATAACTCATCATCTGACTCGGGCTCACTAAAAGTCAATTTATTCTAATGGGGCCAAAGCAGCCTGAACATTTTAATTAAACTGAGCTGTAATAACAGGCTATAAATTCACTCATGCTGCTCTACTATTGCAGCACAGCTTTCTTTCTGCCCGTCTGTCTTCCTCTTTGTGTGTGCATATATGGTATGTAACACAGACAACGTAAAGGAAGTTATATGTGTGTGTGTTTGGCTTACAGAAGAGCAAAGCTTCTTAAAATCAGAACTCAGCACCCTTTACAAAGGAAATCCAGCATGTTTTATTATTCTGGCTCTGATCATCAAGCTGCTGCAGTGCAGTGAAATCACACAGAGAAGCTTTTGTCAGCATACAGTCAGACAGAATGAACTGAGCTGTGCAGTACAGTTTTGTTCACATATTTCACTGTACTTACCTACAGGGACATGCTGGATAAAAAGATCTTAAGACGGCCAAAGAAGAGACTTTGTGTCGTTTTAGATTTGTGTAGCAAAGTTGTTGCAGCCATAGATGTATTTTCTGATTGTTGTGGATAAGATCCGTGAACAACTGTGTATAAAAATTGCAATCTGTCTATGTGCCTCTGAAGATTTGAGGAATCTAAATTCACTTCATGATGTGCCTTGGCTCTTCTAATGGGAAATCACTTTTGCTCAATGGATCTACAAAAATATTCTTCATTTACCAACTGCTCACTTTGGTGCTTTAGTTCCATAAAGAACCCTTTTGTTTTGTATGTAACACCGTACATGAGAAATTTCTAATAGTGGAATAAAAACAGTTTATCATTCACTTCAAATCTGGGATCAGTGCTAGTATATATTGGGGGAAAAAAAATCTTTGCCAATGGGGGTGAGTGGTTGCTGTGTACCTACATCAGCTCCTGCAGTCTGGTAACCTCTGGTTCTGGTGAGTCGGCCCTCATACTTTAGAACAATCTCTCTGGCCTGCCTGGGAAACAAACACACATGGGAAACCCCACTAAGGAGAAACACCAAACAAGCTGGGGGTTTTTTTGCCCAAAAATTAAAGCTTCAAACAAAGAAAAAAATAAATATTTGATTTGATGTATGTTTTAGTTGCGGCCTTCTGCCCAAACATCTTACTTGCTAAAAAAAAAAGTTCTTTCTGAGATTTAGATTTTTTTTTAAATTGCTCATCTACCCGATTTTAGCACGTTTTTGTTTTTTGCATTTCGAGGCTATGTTTGAAGCACAATATCTCAGGAATGAGATGAAATGCTAAAATTTGTACTGTTGTTTCTCATTGTGCCATGATCAAAAAGAGCTGAAATATGAAAAAAAAAAAAAAAAAAGCCTTCAACTTACCCATTATCAGATTTATTGATCTCCTCATCAAATATTGCAGAATCTGAATAACCGTCACAAGAAAAACACTGTGAAGAATTCTGGCTTTTACCTATAATAGTTAATATTATCATCCAAATATAGCATCAAAATGCAATGTGCAAAAAAAGTGTGCTAAAAGTGGGCCAACGAGCAATTTTTATTGGTATTTTATTTTTGAAAGAATTTGATAGATCAACTTAAAATTTCACAAATATCTTTATACATACACACGTGGACAAAATTGTTGGTACCCCTCAGTCAATGAAAGAAAAACCCACAATGGTCACAGAAATAACATGAATCTGACAAAAGTAATAATAAATTAAAATTCTATGAAAATTAATCAATGAAAGTCAGACATTGCTTTTGAACTGTGGTTTAACAGAATTATTTAAAAAAAAAAATAAACTCATGAAAAATAATTCTGTTGAACCACAGTTCAAAAGCAATGTCTGATTTTCATTGATTAATTTTTTATTTATTATTACTTTTATAAGATGAGAGGAAGACATGATCAAGACAGCTAACCTGCTTTATACAGAATTTTTGAAAAAATACACGTTTTTGCAAGATGGTTTGTTTTCCTATACGGACCCCAGCTACAAAGCAACCCACCCACATCAGACCTACTTCTGTAATTAGTGCATTTTCCCTTTTCACTCTGTGTCGCTATCTTTGTAGCTTATATTTTCATGGCTTACTTGTCTTAGCTTGGGCTAATTCATTGTTTAATAGGATAGGTGATGTCTTATGATACAGGCGCAAAAGTCCTGCAGATAGAAGCAGTTGTGAGTTGCTGGACTTTATAGAAGGTGTACTCCAATTGTAGTGTCTATTTGTTCATGTGACAAACTTTTTAAACACTTTTAAAACATAGCAGAAATCAGTACTAATACCCTGATCCTTCTACAACCAGCCACAGCAGACTGGTCCCATTAAAATAAATTTTGGAGCTTTATAGTCTATAAGACAGTGAAACCAGCTCATCCTGTCAATGGACAATTCAGAGGGCTATGAGCCATGTGTTAACTATGAGGAAGACACTCATTGTGCACTTTACACACTCTCCCCTCTGAAAAACAACTGCAAGTGTTATTACTGTAGAATGCACACAGGTTTATTTATAGGCCTGAGTGAAAATGTGAAAAAACAACCCACATTTAAAAAAAAAAAAAATTTCTGACAATCTGGGTAAAAATCATTGATTTGTGATGTGGAACTACAAGCTGTTGTTGCAGTGGAAGTAATCGCAGACATTCAGCCGGAGATTAAAGAGGGTGTAAAAACGCAGACTTGCATCCCATCCCTGATGATGGTAATAAAACCTCTGCAGTAATAACACACTGCCCATATAAAACCTGTTATCCATGGCACATACTCAGCACATCTTAGAAGCTCTCTATCTGCTGTAGCTCTCTGTCAGCTCGTTCTCCATCCACAGGTTTAATTACATTTACTTTGGCTATTGGACACCTGGTAGAATGTTAGCTGCTAAACCATTCATACATGCCGGACCATATTAGTATCAAATAAGATTCAGTGTAATAAGGTTAGGGTTTATTTATTTTTGTAAGTCACTTCAAATCCTGTTGGGTAGTGGGATTTGTAGTTTTTTTTTTTGCTTTATATACATTTGATGGGACAGATAAGTACTTACCTTAATAAATTCACAAAGGCTAAGTAGAACTTTGCATGTCACATATACTGTAAATGTGACCTGAAGTCTATTTATACAAGTCATTTTCTAATAAACCACAAAAGTAGGGCCTAAAATATATTTAAAAAGCCACAAAGATATGTATAAACACATCTCTCCAAATATCTAAATGAAACAGTAAAACCTGTCCCGCAGTGATAAGTAGTTAGTTCTTATTACTGCAATTGATGTGGTAATAGTTTTTTCTTTTTTTCCTTTTATCTATAGATCTATTTCAGCAACACAACATGACGACTTGACTTGAAAGTAGTCTTTCTCACATTTGCAGTCTTCATGTTTGTCTGGGTTATTTTAAGAGAACACGAGAAGCAACAGAGTCAGCTACCACTCCACAGACACAAAAGCAACAGTCAACAGAAAAGTACTTGAGGACTTTAAGCTTGCGTCTCATTGGCCAAGGCCTGGTCCGGATGTTGGCGATGATCTCCTTCTGGTACTGAATGTTCTGGAACATCTCCTCTGGGTCGTTGCTGTCCACTCTCTCATCCTCTTTATCTTCATCATCTGATGAGCTATAGGTTAGGACACAAGGGCACAGTGAAAAATGCCTTGACTTCCTCTGTTGCTTCATAGAGAAACAAAAGAATGGAGGGGAAGTGGAATGGTTAAAGCATGTGCCACATTAACACAACGTCCCTGCTGTGACTGTACAGGAGGACCAGTGTTGCATGTTATACCCTCCTCTGTCACACAACATTGCTTGTCTACTGCTCCACTATTCACTCTCCAACAAAGGCAAAAATGACAACAAGATAGTAAAGAATGAAAGAATGTTCAGGATTTCACGAGTTGGACTTACTCTTATATTTTACTTCTTATTAAAGCCAACCATCCATCCATCCATCCATCCATCATCTATACACCGCCTAATCCTCACTAGGGTCACGGGGGGGCTGGAGCCTATCCCAGCCGACTTAGGGTGAAGGCAGGGGACACCCTGGACAGGTCACCAGTCCATCACAGGGCTACACTGAGAGACAGACAACCAAGCACACTCACATTCACACCTACAGACAATTTAGAATCACCAATTAACCTCAACATGTTTTTGGACCATGTGGGAGGAACCCGGAGAACCCGGAGAGAACCCACGCTGCACGGGGAGAACATGCAAACTCCACGCAGAAAGATTCCGGTGCCCCCACCGGGACGCGAACCGGCAACCTTCTTGCTGCGAGGCAACAGTGCTACCAACTGCGCCACCTTGCAGCCCCTAAAGCAAACCAAACTAGACTAAATAAAACATTACAAGGCAACAATTTGTACTGATTGTTTTGTATCAGACACATTTTAAATATGAACAGCCATAGCATGTTTAATTTCATTTCACTGATTAGTAATTAATTCAAGTAGCTGGTAATGTGTGAAGCTGAACTAAATGACTAAATTATGGGAACCTAATTTTACTGCTTGCAGCTTAGTTGATGTATCAGAACAGTCAGTTAGCACACCTCTGCCTGCAAGACGACATCCTGACAGCCTGGAGTCACTCCTTATCTACTGTCTTTAATCTAATTTATTAAGATGTCTACATTTTCTGTGTGGAGTTTGTGCTCTATGTACTGCCCTCAAACCAAATGTAATAGTAAATGTACTTTCAGTTAACAGTCCCACAGTTTAGTGTGTCACACTTGATGGGTCATGCACAAAGCAGAGGATATGGACATAAAAGAGTGGATGATTATTCCAGGTATAGTCGTTTTATTACAAATCATATCACCTGATAGCGATCAGTTGATTAACAGAACGAGCTGTAATTCTCTGCAGACAGAAATACTGTATGTAGCGGTGTTCTTCCATTACATTGTCCATAATTTCATTTCACATGCATTTGGAATAAAATGTGGGTACATTTTACTAGCAGCCTTTGTGTATTCTCTGCTGTTATCAATAATGCTTTGAAAAAGAGACCTTTAAGTGGAGTTAATCTGATTTATGATTTGTAAATAGATGAGTGTGAGGAAGGGATGCCATTTGCATTTCTGATGCTGTTGTGTAAATAATAAATGACAAACATCAGTTATTTTATGTGTTTCAGATAACTGCTATATACCATTTTTTTGCCGTTATTAGAATACAATTAGCTCATTGCAAACATTTCCATATCCATCATCACCAGGTTATTAAAATCAAAACAATACAGTTACAATGAAAACCAGAGAGACACACTGATTCTATGTTGAACTGTCTTCTTGTAGATGCAATGTATTTCTTTCTAATGCCAAAATTGATCATGTATGTGTGTATATATATATATATTCAACTCTGTAAAAAAAATGCTGTTTTTTGTTTGTTTTTTTTAGACTTTTTTACTCGTGATTAAAGATCTTTGACCAAATAAATGAGAGGACAGAGTGTCCCTGGATGGAAGTATAGCAACACAGCCCACAGGAAACTCTTTGAAGTTTTCCCTGATGATTAGATTTAGTAACTGACTAATCGTATGACCTACAGGATGTCAATTAAGACACAGAAAGATAATTAGTCATGAAGAGAGAGACTTATAGGCACAAAGAGACAAAAGGCTCTCCAAAGGTCCTGATAAAAGTAAAACTGATGAAACAAAACTAAACAAAGAAACAAAAAAACTAAAAGAGTAAGACTCACCCTTGGTGGTCCTGGTAGGCAGAATAAATCCTTCTGGAGTTTTTCCTGATACTTTTGTGTCTCTTGGCTGCAGACAGAGACCTGCTGCTCCCAACCAAAGGCTCAGACACTGTACTCATACTGCCTCGCTCAGAGTTTTGTCAGTGTGACAGTGTGTGAATGATCAGAACATTGCCTGCCACTCAGCCTGACTCTGCTGGAGCGTCTGAGCTGGAGCTACCTGCTACTCGGGGGCAACACCGCAGGACTGAAACACACTCATCCCTAAGTCCAATCACAGCCTGCACTGACTGCTTAAAGGGGCAGCACC